TCATATAGAATAGTGGCTTTTTTTGCTCCTGGGAGGGCTGGCTAGGTGGTCTAGTATGGGGAGGACTCCCCCCACCCCTAAAAAGCTTCCTCTTTTAAGTATGTATTGCTTCTTTGCGAAATGGGGTGGTGTTGCACGTGTGGTCTGAAGTCATATCAGATGTAATACCTTATTTGCCAAAGAATGATTTTTCTCTTCTTTAGAAATCTATGGTAAAGATGGCTTTCACCATGGTACCCATGGGGCAGCGTGCTATCCTCAAGTCTGTACGAGAGAGAAAGAAAGAAAACCACAGTTTGCATTAGAGACTGCTGTATCCTCCTTGGTCGTGAGAGAGAAGGGTGTAAAGCTATGAATGGAACTGAACAGCTGTGACCCATATACTCCATCATTAACACATTTTTGTATGAAAATACTTCTTAGGAGCAATGTAATTTTATTAATGTGTGTGGGTGATTCAGCAGATACTTTAGGTCTGCTCCTAGGTAGGTTGTGCACAAATCTCTTCTGAAATGCTGTTAACCTTTAGGAATAAATGGGACGTGAACTGTGTAATAGCTTCCCAGCCATGCTGTCAGGCAGCACCCTCCTTAGACATGGAGACATGAGGCACACCTCTTTATCTCTGAGCATCCATCAACACGAATGCAAACAGGTGACACGTAAGCCTCTTGGCCGTGTGCTAAAGAGGTGGTGCTAGAAAAATACTCCTACTGGAGGTACTATCTCCAGTGTGCCCTAGCTATTCCTTTAGCAGAGTTTGGGGTAAGTGGTATACTTGCTTTAAATTGATGTGATTGAGGACTGTCTGATTAAGAGCATGTTCAAATTTCCTGAATTTTACACTGTGCGTCTGTGTGTGTACACATTTTTATTTGCAGCTCAATGCTTTTTTTTTTTTTGGCTTGTGTTTTCATTTATTCATCTCTTTGTGCCTCCTTCCTTTTTCCTTCTCCTCTCCATCAGCTCTGTAGCAGCACAGGAGTTGCATGTTTTGTGCAAGGCCAGTTCAGAAAGCGTATTCCCTGTCCCCATGCTGCACAGGGGAAGTCCTGCTTGCCAATTTCCTTAATCTGTGTGGGAGCAACCCTCCTTCCTTTTTCCTTCTCCTCTCCATCAGCTCTGTAGCAGCACAGGAGTTGCATGTTTTGTGCAAGGCCAGTTCAGAAAGCATATTCCCTGTCCCCATACTGCACAGGGGAAGTCCTGCTTGCCAAGCCAATTTCCTTAATCTGTGCGGGAGCAACACTGCCATAGTCTTGAATGTTTTATCCCACAACAGAGTTATGATGTCTGTGTCCTGGAGGCAAAAATACAAGCCTGTTAACGTTGATGCCTGTTAACATGGAAGTACCTTGGACTAGGAAATCCACTGAACAAGAGGAGCACTTGCTTTGCAGAGTATCCCCTCTTGGCAAGCCACGATCTGGACACGTGTGTATGTGGAGGCTCCAGAGCGGCAGCTGTACCCGCACAGCTTAAGTGATGGCTCTGGGGGTCCTGTCAGCAATGGAAGAAGCTAGTGGAGTTTTTCCAGCACTTGTTCATAGCCCCTGTCCATCTGCATTCCAGGCTAAGTGCAAAGCCAGAGCTGAATGGGATTTAAGGAGGGGCTTACAAAAGGCAAAACCCTGTGGGGGCTTGATATGGAGCCTAAAACTGTGTCCATCAGTGAATTTTTTCAGCCAAGGAGTTCTTACTCTTGGAAGCAAGATTTGGGAATGATCATTCTAAAATGAATTCAGATTTTTTTTTTTTTTTTTCTTTTAGGGACCTGATGAATTCTAGTTGTATCATCAATTTTCTTTGATTCTTCCTTTTCTACTTCCCACTCTCTTGATATATGAAGTATAGAAATGTGGAGGGAAAGACTGGAAGGTGTGAAGCTCTAAAGCCTAATTTTAAGAAAATCAAAATTGGAAGGAAAAATGGGATGGATTTTTAGTAACAGGGCAATGACTTTTAAGACTCCACAGCAGTTTTCGCTGTGAATATACTCTTACTTCTGTTATGTGGAGCTGGATGTGTCTGGGCACTAGGACTACAGGTCTTGGAAACAGAGGGTGGAGATCCCTTTTTAAATATTTGTACAGGGAGGAGGACAAGGCTATGAAAATAGCTCTTTGCATGTCTCCAAGGATAGGTTAACTGTGCAGGGTTTCATAAGAACCACTTCCTGGAGATATTTGAATAATAGATTGACATTATTGGGTGCAGTGAAAGGTGTGTGCATTTCAAAAGGAGAAAATTTCCTTCTAAAGTAAATCCTTTAAAAGGCATTATTATGCCTTTCATGTGAAGGGCTCCTAGTCCTCAGTCAGTCGTTTGCAAATTTTATTTGTTACCAGCCATATGGAGAATTGAGATTTAAGTGGTCTGAATGATGTGGTGTGTTTGTCCAGACAGATGCTCTACAAATCGGATATGACACTAGGAATACCTTTAGGTTTTACTTCCCCAAGGTCTAACCTTGACCCTTCTGTTTTAACAAGAGCTTTCACCCTGCTCTGTCCAGTGGAAGGATGCAGCTGAACCTTAATGGTTTCTTAGGGCTCCAAGTAAGAGCTGTAGCGCCCTTTCTTCCTCCATAGGTCTTGTACAGGGTGCATGATAAATTAGTTTTCTTACAACATAAATTAGCAGTGATTAGGTGGCACTATCATTTCTATCTGTTATTAAAAGTTTGTTCTATATACTTATAGCTAGCTAACAAAATACTGACAAAGCAAATACTTCTGTAGAGGTGGGATAGCGTAGTAAAAGACATGAAACTAGTTTGTCTTTGTATAATATACTGGCCCTAAGATTTGCATTTAAAGCTTTTTAAGCAACAATTAGTTTAGGGGTATTGAAGCTGAAAGAACGTGTATTTGAGTAGAGGGAGCTTACACAGCCCCTTGCCCTTGGAGAACACCCGAGTGCAAAACAAACACCATATACGAGACAGAAGTCTAAATCAAATCCAGTCTTTAGTAAAAACCTCCTTGTTTGCTTTTAAAAATATTTTTCCCTTTCTTCTAGTGTATTTAAATGAAAAGACTTTGTAGAGCTACAAGGTAGGTGATCTGGTTTTACTTTTTTTTTTCCCTTTCCTCAACAAGGGGCAGGATTAAAAAAATGAAACAAAACCGCAGAAACCCCTTTTGCTGGTATGTGTGAGTGTGTCTAATGGATTGGGGCTTTTAATTTCTTCTAAAAATATTCTTATGTCATTGTGTGGCTGCCTGTTTAACTTGCTTACTTGAATATGCTGCTCCTTCAGCCCTGTGTGATGGATGCAGGCCTGCAGTTGTGGCGTATTTATGTAAAAAGCTCACTGATAACTATTACTGTGGGGTTTTTTTGTTTCAATCTTTGACTTTATTGCAAAACTTTGTGTTAAAACACAGCAGTGGAAAGTGAATTAGCTGGCTGTGGTGTGGTAGTGCGTGTGAACTCTGTCACTTAAACCCCCTTTCCTGTAAGGTTTTGCTGTCACTGATGGCATAATGTAAGATATGCCTTGGCTGGGGAAAGAGAGTCTTCAAAACTGGAAATGGCAAAACAGTGTCAGATGCTTTCAATTGACTCTTCAGTTGGAGAGTATTTGGGTGTAAATCTGACCATTATCTGCGTTTGATCATCCAAAGTCCCATCATGGCTAAGTCGACTAATGACAGTTCTGTCTTGTAACCAAGAGCAACATAAAGTTGAAGCTTTAAAGATAGTTATGGGTTTAGATTAATGATGGTGATTGATGCCCACATATATGAGGTACAGAGTTTGTTCCAAACCTCAAGCTGTGAGTTGATATTCAGGAAATAAATTGGTGTTTTGCCATTGATGCAAACTACTACAGTGTTTGACTTGAAATGAATAATATTATCTAGTTCAAGCTACAAACAGTTCCAGAAATACTTATTTACCATTGAAACAGCAGATTTTACTTTTTAAAAAATTTTATTTCATCATCTATCTTATTTTTTGTATTTTGGTATCTATTTCCCTCCTTCATAAGGGGCAATTTAATACCAGTTTAATGTTGCTTTTAGAATGGTTATTTTAGGCTTATCTTTTTATGTTCCTGTCTTTGAACAGAACATAAGGCAGCTCTTTACTGTTTGTTTTGGGAGAAAAAAGGCTCAGTAGCTACTCAACAGGAAAGTATTAGTGCACTTACATCAGTCTTTCTAGTATACATGAAATTGGCGAGTGGTTTCTGTTACACATTCTAGCTGTTACTGCACTTTGATCAGACTATATCTAATATGGTTATTTTTCAAAGGCACAAAAAGGATAGAGAGAAATTTCTTAAATGTGTATGTCCACAGGAAAAATGTGTGTTGTTTAATGGCAATTCAGGATCAATATTTAGTTTAAACAATTAACTAGCATCATGATAAAAACTTTGAAAACTTTGAAAATTGGTCCTCTAAAGAAAACAGAAAAAAACCAAAAACAAACCAAAAACCCAACAAAACCAACAACAAGAAAATGTTGCTTGGTTATTTTTCCTCCTTATATGAAAAAAACTTTTTCAAGATTTAAAAATAGCTATTAATGGAAAATGACTGTCATTTTTATTTAAATATGCTGGGTGGTCTGGAAAAAATTTTTTTGCATATGTTAATAATGTCACAGTGAAAGTAAGGTCAGAATTGCATTGCTGGTACATTTAAGTAGCTTTTGCCAGCTTCCATGCAGATTAAAGAGTTCTGCAGTTCATGTTCCAGATGTCTTGGATACTTTGACCTTGATTTTCAGTCTTTCCTGAAGAAGTTAAAATTGTGTTGCCTTCTCTTACTAGTAAGAATAATGTAATAAAATCAACTATCGACTTTTCTAGTCACAACTGAATTTGATAATTGGCATAATTGAGAGGTTACGGTGAAACCAGCATAAGAGACTACAGAACTGGTCCCATTGCTGGATGCTTTGTAGTTCAAATAGTGATCTGTATTTTAAACGTATGTCAAAAGAATCCTTGGCAGAGTTATTGACTAACTAATCCTTTTTGTTTTGCTTTTTAAGGCATCTCCTGAATTCTCACTATGTCTGATGGGGACTATGATTACCTCATAAAATTTCTAGCACTTGGTGATTCTGGAGTAGGAAAGACCAGCCTTCTTTACCAATATACAGATGGCAAATTTAATTCCAAATTTATCACAACGGTGGGCATTGACTTTCGGGAAAAGAGAGTGGTGAGTTTTCACAAACAGTGTGCCACTTTAAAATGGTATCTGTCTTGGTGATGGCTAGAATCTATTTTTTAAAAATCTGACCTGCCAATCCTTATGTGTAGGCATGCAATCAATAGTTACTGTGTACTTAATCTTGTGACAAGGAAGTGATTTCATTTTACTTGGTTATTTTTGTCATCGTTGTGTGTTGTCCCCCCGATTTCCCCCAAGGTTAAAGTAAGAAGAGCTGATTCTAAGGAACCACTTCTTACTGCTCAGCAAGTGTTGATGAGTGTACCTACTCCGTGAGTTGTGCACATAGTACCTGGAGTAGCACTTTTATTGTTGAACTCTCTTCACAAGGAAAGATTGGGCTGTAGTAAAAATGTTTTTGCTGTTTGTGAACTGAAATGGCTAGTGAACAAAGACTGCAATATTGATTTTAAAACTGTTCTAAAACATGTGAATGAAATGGGATAGCATGATACATGGAGCTGATCTGGCTTCCTAAGCAGTTACCACAAGCAGAGAAGAATTGTGAAAAATAAGGTTTGGTTTTTGGGGGTTTTTTGTTTCTTTTTTTAACCCCTGAATTTTTATTAAACTAGGCAAATGTACTTTTGATATGAAACTGAGCACTGTATTATGATAACCAATTGGATGTTGGTCCTTACTGCACTGAGAAATTGAGTTGACACAATTTTTTTTCATTCTTACGTAGAAGTATTAAATGCCTTTCAGTGTAGTCTGATGATTTCCCAAGTGTCCAGGAATCTGGATGGTGTAATGGGCATTGTGCAGACTGGCTTCTGATGGATGACATGCACCACAGTAGTGCAAGGAGTAAATATCTTAGTGAAATGTGAAACCGATCTCTTGAATAAATTAATATTCCCTTTGTAGGATAGTAAACCCTTTTGTGGGTTTACTTGATCAGCATATTTGATAACTCAGGGTAAGATTTAGGTTTCACAACCTGAATCATATAATCCACAAATTCAGCAAGTTTATGTGTCTCTAAAGATATGTTTGCAATTCTGGTAATCTTAGGTACAACGACAGTTGAAGGTAAAGACGACAACCTAACATGAAGTGTTCTAAACAAGAAATTAATCTATTTTTATCTGATCCTTCCCAAGCTAACAGATGCCCTTATTTATATTTTCATGCTGAGTAAAGACTTCAGCTTTTATTATTATCATCCAATTTCTGCTTTTTAAGCTATGATATGATAAGATCTCCCCTCAGCTCTTTTTCAGCAATCTTTTGGCAGCTAAGATGAGATGTCATTATCTTTATGAGTATATTCTGTTTGCTAATGAGGTTCTGTTAGTGATACAAATATACTACCAGATTGCATGATCTGATTGTTGCTTTCTTATATTTTAATTTGAACATGATACAAGATGACCTCTAAAGGTCCCTTCCAGCCCAAATGATTCTATGATTCTATGATAATAGCAAAAAATAGAAAATAAAAATACTAAAATTAAGCTTGTCTAATGAAACTTAATGGCCACTCTGAATATCTGTTTGGAGCCCATAGTCTATTGGATACTGTTTTTCCAGTTTCACTTTTACCCTTATTTTTAAATATTCAATTGGATGCAAAATTAAAATGCAACCCATATTACTTTTGTCTTATAAAACAGAGGGATTGAGTTGTAGTTGGGATCTTTGCATCGGCAATGCTAGTTTTGCTGCATTTAATGTATTCAAATGTCAGTTATTTTGTGGCCTATAGAGGCTGGAATGCTAGTACTCAGTCTTGCAAATTTATCTTTTACAGGTGTATAGACCCAATGGGCCAGATGGCATTGGTGGCAGAGGACAGAGGATACATCTTCAGCTCTGGGATACTGCTGGGCAGGAAAGGTATGTTCCCACCCCCACCTAGCAAGTAAGGCAATTGTCATGAAGCTAGATGTAAATGGAATTGAGTACATGAATTCTCTGTATTGATTGTTACATTTTAATTGTATGACTTAACATGGTAAAGTGCGCTTACTTTAGTTTCAACAGTGATGGAAAGTTTCCTATGGAAACCCATTAAATTACAACTGTAATTTACAACTGTAGGACATTAAAACTGTAATTGTTGCTTTTTGTCTTTTGGAAACTTTCAGTTTATTTTTTCATGGCCAATGCATATAGATGCTTTTAAAGCTTTTATTTTTTAAGTTTTCTTTAAATTTCTGTAAATATGTGGAGGTCTTGGGAAAGTCAGATAGGTGAAATCATCTCAAAGGATTCTTTTCTATTTGTCTATCAAAAGACTAGCATTGTAGTGGTTGATAGTCTTAAAACCAAGAACTGATGTGTATAGGGGACAAATTTCTGTTCAAAGTTTGAATGTCATTCTTATTTTAATTCCTGAATCTTGATCAAGTCATGCTTTATAGCAGAAGACTTTGTCTAAAGCTCTCACGCTCGAGTTTTAGTTCTAAGGCCTTCCTTAGGCCTTGATTAGACCATAGTAGTGTTAGCAATTCCTGTTATGCAATCCCTACATCAGCAAAACAATTATGATGAATATTTCATTCTAGTTAATGCAGTCTTAAGTTACCTCAGTTTTTATGAGACTGTATGCAATTATATTTTCAAAGTAACTAGTCAGAGGAGCCAAGTAATTTCACTTTGCTGGTCTAGGTTTCGTAGCTTGACAACGGCTTTCTTCAGAGATGCCATGGGGTTTCTTCTACTCTTTGATCTGACAAATGAGCAAAGCTTTCTGAATGTCAGGAACTGGATAAGTATGGCATTTCTTTATTTTTTTCTTTTTTCTTTATTTCTTTGCATGAGCAGGGAGGGGGGCATGTTTGCAAATATGGAGTCTCACTGAGAAATAGAACTGAAAATACTGTTTTTTATAGCTTTCTCAGTAAAAGAACGTAAATGTTGCATTCGTAATTGTAATAGCTGCTAGTGGTGGCTTCTAGTGCTTGAAATTCAGCTTTGCCTACTGAATTTGAATCTTAACCTATATAAAAGCAAGCTGAGAGAACATCATATCCCTGGCTCTGGTAATATTCGGTAATTTAAGTGTGTGGAAAGCCTATGCAAAACTCTACTTTGACTCACCTGAAGCTTTGTCAACAAAACTTAATGGAAGGCAAATGTTACTAGGCTGCTGTATCTAGATGAAGGAGTTCCAAAACTGCATTATCCATCAGGAGAGGGAAGTATATCCTTTCCTGGCAGCTCACTGAAGATGCGTGATTAGCCTAACTCCTTAAGCTCAAATACAGAGCTTCTGTGCTAACTTTGTCACACTTCTGCTCCCCTGGCTTGTTCCCTGGATACATGATAGTGGATGTCCACCTGTTCTCTGGCTCCTTAGTGCAATAGCAGAAGTCCTGTGAGGTAGTGAAGGATGTATTTGTTTTTTGTCTTTCAAAGAGTAGTTTTCCTGAAGGACTTTGTGTCCCCTGAAATGTGGTAGTATTCGTAGTGAGCTTTATGTGTGACAGTAAGTTGTGACCCCTATTCATGTTGTTGCTGTTAGGTCAGCTACAAATGCATGCATATTGTGAAAACCCTGACATTGTATTATGTGGAAACAAGAGTGATCTGGAAGACCAAAGAATGGTGAAAGAAGAAGAGGCTAAGGAACTTGCAGAAAAATATGGGTAAGTAACTTCCTTCCAGTTATTGCTGGGTTTGAAGCAGAATGAAATATTTTCTGTAATGCCTTTTCTGTATACAGAAAGGTTATTGTGAGAATAAGCATTTTAGAATGCTTAACTGGCTGGTATGATATCTTTTCTTCTGTCAGAGATTAATGTTTTCTGCATTGCGTAAAAATTCATACTTTGTATTGCAATAATCTTGCACTGGAGACTGGTTAATCACCTTCTTTCCGTGGCAGTAAACAAAGTAAATTTTCACAAACATTCTGGAAAAGAGAGAGAATTTAGCTGGAGAGGCAGGTGAATGATGGGGGTCTAATTCTTTGCTCTTGCCTGTGCTGAGGCTTTCTATAGGGCACAGAAAACTACAAAGTGAAATCCAAAAGACCATTTGGTGAGGTGATAAGTGTCACATCAGATTTTAGGGAAAACAAAAATAATACAAGGAACGATATCCTAATTTACAAGCTGAGATGTTTTACAGAAGTTTGTTGCAGGGTAGCTGTTGTCCCTGGCACGGCCATGGAAACAGGCGACCTCCGTTTCTTTGAGAGCCTCGGGACCCATTCACTGGTGTTTGGACAGTCCGCTTACAGAGTGCTGGGTTTCCACAGAAGAGCAGTTCTGGTCCAGACCACAGTTCTCCAGTTCTCTGCCCCCTCCCCGTTCAATCTTCCCTCAACTGTTCAAGCAATTTTGTTAGGACTGTACCTTAGGTGAATTCTTAGTAACTTAGCCGTAAAGGGGTCAGCTGTGTTCTCTTGCAGGCATCTTCACTCTCACAGACTCCCAGGGAGTCTGAAAACAGAGTCAGACCAGCAGGAAGACAGGGTAGCCTTGCCCTTGCCCTTCCCTACAGGCACAGGTCATGTGTCCCTAAAGAAACTATGTGAAATCTTTGTTCCTATCAGATGCTAATTAATTCCATAGTACTATTATACCCCCGTAACTCTTCCATGGGTCTCATCTCTGGATTACATTTGCATTTCAGTATGGATCAGAAGCATACTTCTGATCCAAATCTTTTGATCCATTTATTGAGGTTTGAATCACGTAGTTGAACAGCTTTCTAGCATGTGAACTGGATTCCTTCTCAATTGAAAACTAAACTAGATGATGTGCTCCAGCCAGTAATCTGTGTTCAGTCTAGAGGAATAGATTAAAGCTGGTTCAAAGTAATGCCCACAAAACGTGTAGTGGGAACACTAGGTCCTCAGTGTTAACTGCCTTGTTCTGCACGCAGGTCTAGACCTGTTGTGCCATACTATTTCCTATCACATAGTCACAAATTAGCTTTCCTTGACCTTGAAGAATAACTGGAGGCAAATCAGAAGCAATCTGTATATTAGAGACAAATGGGTTTAGTGCAATATTACCTTCTTACTTTTTCCTTCTCCTGTGAAAATGCTTGTTTGAAGTCCATGCCACACAGAAAACAGCAAGTGCATGTGGTACTTTAACCAGCCGCTTGTGAAGGAGCAAAAACATTTAAACAGCAGCAGATGGCATGTGGCCATTTCTTAAAGATTTGAAAGAGATTTTCTTGCATGTGACTTCTGGAAATAATTTATGAAATGCTTGTTTTTGTGGCTGAAAATGCCAATTTAATTTAGGAATAGGGGGCTAAAAGTCAAAGTTATAGATCACGTCCAATCTGTAGGCAGTTACAAAGTTTTCTGCCCTGTAGAGATGAGACAGGGTGGCTGCTAGGAGCCACTTGCTCCTGAGGGGAAACGAGATAAATCCTGCTGCAGTGAACAGTCTTCTGGTAACAAAAGTGTGAGACAGTGAATATCCTCTTTCTGTGGAAAGACCTTGTACTGGTAAGTGATGTATTTTGAAAATGATTGCAAGAGACCTACACACTGAGACAGTAAGATAATATTTTTGACCACTCATTGAAGCTTGCCAGTTAAGTAAGAAATACTTAAAATGATGAAGTGATTGTATTAGTCACTTGGAGTAACACGAATGTAGCCAGTCTAGCACTTACTGCGAACGTCGTAATTGTGTACATTATTCTTTTTGGTCAAGCTGTCTTCAGTATGTTTTGTGTAGGAATTTGTGTATATAATGAGCAGTTGGACCATGCACACTCCATCCTCTGGGGAGCACTGAGTGCAGGAGGTCAAAGCCTACAGACCCGCCATTGAAACATCCTGATCCACAACAATAATGAAAACTAGCAATGTATTTTCAATACCAATGTGCCCAGAAACTTTTGTTAACAAAGACATGGGTGGTCTGAGCAGTGAGATTCCCTGCCCCCCTTATGTAAGAGAGTTTATAGTTGAGGTGTCAACAGAAGAAACAGATGCCTTGTGTAGTGATAAGAGTAGCACATTAGGAGTCTTTACCGCCTTGCCTGCAGGGGAACATCCATACTAGCATTCCTCTCTTGCAATGACTCCCTAGCTGATGTAGATAGAAATCAGTAAGGAGAACACTTATGCACATGAGGCCATATAAATTGCATCTCTTGTGGGGAATGGACCTGAAAAAAACAGACCTCAGGAGCATAACTTTGGGAACTCATACTGACCAGTGCCTTTGTAAATTGTGACTCCATGACTTAAATTTAAGCTTATCCTTCTGCCCTACCTACAGAGTCAGCCATTTCATTAATTTCTTTTGCATTTCAGACCACTGACCACTTAGTGTCTTTCTGTTATGGAGTAGCAGTAACAGCATTTGTGTGATTTCTAAGTATGTGGTAGTAATAATGTATTGTTTTTTCTCCTATGAATATAAACTGTGTGATACAAGGATGTGGGTTTTTGTCTTCTGCAGAATACCGTATTTTGAAACTAGTGCAGCTAATGGGAATAATGTAAGCAAAGCCATTGAAACTCTGCTTGACCTCATTATGAAGCGCATGGAACGGTGTGTGGATAAATCCTGGATCCCAGAAGGGGTAGTACGCTCCAATGGGCACAGCTCTACGGAACAACTGAATGAGGAGCAAGAAAAGGGCAAATGTGGCTGTTAAGTCAGTTACAATTAAGTTTAATATATATGGTGAAGTATAGTACAGTTGCAGCTTAACTGTTTTAACTTATGGACAAATCACATTGTGTAGTTGCTTAATGAGCTATATTAATTCTTGCTACTAATTTTTGGTTTTTTCCTCTCAAACAGCATTGACCTTTGCTTGCAAGATATGCAGTTTATTAGTGATGGGACAGAGGTTTAACTTGGTGTAGCACTGGATATTCCTCTCATTCTCTAATTTGGAAGGAAGGGGAGGAATTTTCTTTGCCAAATTTGGAAACGTCTCTCTGTAAGGGCAACGAGAAAGGGTAGGCTTCTGAATTGAAGGATTTTCAATTGCCCTTTGAAGGCTCCATTAACTACACAGACTAGGCATTTAGATTAGCTATTGTGACAGCTCTTACCCTCTACTAACAGCAAGCTTACCAACATGGTTCTTGGTTTTGAATAGAAACATTTTATCATTTCATCAATCAGTAACAATCTTAAAAAGCAAATCCTGTGTTTTCCACAAATGCCTGTGTGTAGTTTTTCCTTGCTTTCTCAAACCATCAGTTTTTAGTGATGAAAACCAAAAGAAAGCTATTCCATATAGAAGAAAAAACTACAGAGGAGCACAAGGGTGCATATGTAGAGCACTTTGGGTATGTCATGAAATTGAACATGTAAACTACAACTGTACTATATAAGATACATCCAACACAGCCTATGAGACCTCCTGACATCATTTTAATTTCTAGAACATGCATATACATATATTTATATGTAAATGGCATAAATGTACATCTGTTATGTTTCTTTTATGTTACCACTCATGTTTTAACAGCAATGTAGGGCAACCTAGACGTCAGCAAAATTTCTTCAGAGCTAGTGCTTTGCACTGAATTTGTTTTACCAAACACAGATTTGGAATGTTTCTTCAAATTTGGATTGAAAAATACATGATGATTGTCTTCTGGTGAAATGCAGCTAAGATACCAGTTCTGTCTAGATCAGTATTTCTATAAATTTATAATGCTCATTTTATTCTGCCAGCCTTTGTGTTCTGTAAATCTTGGTTATCATATATTCATGTATGGCTTGTTCATTTCCTTTAGGTTGTACTTAAAAACGATAGAGTTGCTT